GATCATTTTTTTAATTATTGTGAATTGTCTGTACAATTTATTATAATTTGAAATAAAATTTCGTTTTGCAGTAATTCTATATTTCTAGTCGTTGAATGTGTTCAAAGATTGTTCTCTGAAGTGGGGATGAATTTAATTTAGAATATGGTTTTCTTTTTGTTTATATGAAGTGTGAAACAATTTTTTATCTGTATATTTATTTATTCCATCTAATATTTATTGTTTAATCCATCTAAAATTCAATTTTATGCTAAGTAGTTGTAAATTTTCCATTATATTATAAGTTATAATTATATATTTATTTAGCCACCCAAATATTCATTGATTAGCCCACCTAAAATTTAAATAATTTAAGAATGTCAAAATAAATACTAAATTTTGTTCGAGGGTGCACCTCGAAAATTTGAGCCCACTCTTTAACTCTTTAACTAATTCCTGGACTCGCTGCTGCCTACAGCGATTTCTTTTATCTCTGATTTTGAAAAATTGTTGGTGAAAGACAAAATATTCCAGTCGTAAATTAAAATAATATTTTGGTTTTCCTCATATTATTAGTTGGATTAAATGATTTAAAAATTGGGGTATACTTATAGGATTAAGAAAAATTAAGAGGGATGTGAAAGAGAAAATGGAAAAACGTTGGTTCAATTTCGTAAAGTGTTTCATAATTTGATTTATATTTTTATTTTGCGAAAAGAAGATGATAATTTGGTTTGAAAGACAAAATAAAATAAAATTAATACATAAATACGAAAATCGTGCCACGTGGCAAAAGCATGCAAACGCAAGACACGTGGCAAACATGCAATACGGAAGGCACGTGCGAATTGGCTCAGCATATATATTTTCTTTCTCGAGGGTAGTGTTTTGTCCTCAATGTGACGTTTTAAAGTTTAGTGTGGAGCTATGAATTAGAGATCATCATACCTTGCTTGTATCTATCTTCCAAATATATAGTATTTAAAAATAATTGTAAGTTATGAAAATTAATCATGGAATCCATAAATTCACCCCGAATAATATGTTACATTGTCGTTTTTTTACTTTTTCCTTTTCAAATAAATGAAATGTGATTAAATTATTAGGTTCAATGTTTGAAACAAAGGTGAAAGCCTGCAACACGACATTGACCACGGAGAGGTCCACCTACAATATAACCAGGAGCGACTACACCGACGGACGCGCTCCATTAAACTGACCCAGATCGCAGGGAGCAAGATAGCTCGCCACAGCAGACAAGCACAACTCGTAGTAATTGCACCAGTCTCACGTGTGATCTGAACAAAGACATCAAGGGGAGCCCACCACTCCATCCCTACGACCGATATAAATACAGTCTTGGAGCATAAATGTTGAACAACTCTCTCTATGAAGACATCACCCGACGATGGGTATATATCAACGGAAAATGATTCCTTTCGATTACAACACATATGACTAAAAAAAGGAAATTCGCTAAGCAAGAAAAAGAATCCGACAAAAATCAAGCGAGAATCAAATTATTCCTAATACACACATTCTTATATTATAGTTTTTTTTCTAAATACACTTGTATTGTTTCTCCAGAATCCGACTGACTTGATTGTCAGGGTGCTAACGCCAGAAAATTCTCCCCCAACACTTCTTTTTGCAAGTTGCTCACGCGTGAGCTTCTTCTTATTTGGGTTTTTTTTATCACTTTATATCCAATATTTCACATCTTCAATTCGTGATTGAGCCATTTAGGCTACATATACATCATATAGTATACATTAAAAACCATATGATATGTTAAAAGTTCCTCAAATTAAATGTCATGAGCAATAAAGAAACAACAATTTTTTGTTTCGACAAAAACTCTTTCGATCATTTATTTTTGGCTAAAAGAGCGGATTGATACTTATAATTCGAAGACCAAGTGAGAGATTGTTGGCCGCCTAAGAGGCAAAGGCAATAGAGCAAATGTTCCAATCAGAGAAGCCTCAATGGGAACAATATAGGCGTGTCGTTGAATAGCAGATGTGCACGATGTGAGCAGTAATGTGGCGCACTCTAATTATGTCGAAGTTCACTGCCAATTTTCAGAAGTTCTTGCCAATTTTGAAAAAAGATATTGTTCGGTTTCCAAAAGTTCTCAATTTAATTTTCAAACAAATTCAAAAGTTCATTGTCATTCAAACCAATTTCAAAATTAATCTTCAGGTAATTTTCAGAAGTTTGTTGTCATGTTTTGTTAAAATACTCAAAAAAAAATTGAATTGAGGCTATTAACTAATGTACTTGGGGTCTATTAAGTAATTTTCCTTATTGATTTTGAAATTATGTGTCCAAGTTCATATATTGTTTGAAATATCTTTCGATTATAAATGTAGGTACGGTTTTTATGAATACATCCATCAACAATATTTGAAATCTCATTTTTTGGAGAATTGAAGCTATACAATTTTGGGTAGATCGAGCAATTAATCGCTAGCTCATTAATTAATAGCCAACAAGAAATTGAATTGGTTAATTATGAGTCTGTCTTTCAAACTTGCCCCAATTTATTTTAGACTTTTAGTATATATTATTCAAAAGCTCTAGTATATATATATATGTGCCCCTTATAAATTATGAGACTAGCTCTTGGTTGGTGGTTGCCAATTTAAATAGCTCATAATTTGTATTCTTCTGTTTTAAAATTTAGAGAAAGAGACAGATGGAGTAGTGTTTAATTTATTTGATGCTACATTTGGTAAAATATATCGGCTGATGATTATCTGTTGATCTGCACATAATCATATACACAACATACCTATGTGTATGTGTCTTTAGTGGGAAGTTATTTTATTACATCAACGGTTAATAATTATCCGGTGTATTTCATTGGGTGCAGCATCTCAATAATTGATAAGTAGGGATTGATATTATCCTATTTTAATTTAGTTTCAGATAATAGTAGAAATATATATATATATATATATATATATATATATATATATATATATATATATATATATATATATATATATATATATACACATTTTTTTTAAAGGCAGTCTTTTATAGGCTTATGAGGTCTTACACCTAGTGAAACACACCGTGTTGTTTTAAATTGTAGATCTATATAAATAAGTACCGACTAAACACACAAACACATAAGTGTGTGTTATCATGTACAGATCAATGGTGTAAAACTATATAGTACAATTGACCAGGTATAAATTCTACAAAACCGTCCTCCATATTAAGTAGATAACAACATTAAAATAAGTAAATAGAGAATGAACAAGCGTATTGTAATAATATAAGAAGTCCATATACAGTTAAACATCTATAAATTAATACAGTTGGGACCATCAAAATTTCATTAATTTAGCGAAATATTAACTTATCGATAAATTAATAATTATTAATTTATACATTAATTAATAACTTATTAATTTATGAAATTACTTTTATTATTATTTTCAATAAATGCATTTTTTTAATTTTTTTTTACGTGTATATTATTCATTGTACCATTAGTTCAATGCATTATAGAGTCCGTTTCACAAACGGAAGCTCTTAATGCAGCAATGGTATAAAACCATTTTATGCTAAGTTATGAAAAAAATATACCGAAAGTTCTAACCATGTTAAGAAAAGTGAGGGACGAGATTGATGGTAATGTGAACTTCAACAAGAAACAAGCGACAATTAAATTACATTGCATTAGACCTTCATAGATCTATAAAATATGTATTTTACCATGTAATTTAAGAATTATTTTTATGCATTATTAATTTATATATTATATGGGGCTTCTTAAAATTTCCGAATGGGTATTATCTTATAAATTTAGCGAATTGTTAATTTAGCACGTTGTCCCCGAGTCGGGACCGGGAAAATTTATTATTTAAACGAGGTTATTAATTTATCGAGGTTCTACTGTATATAATCAGTGTGTGTAGAGGTGTAGAATGTGTTTCCTAGGAGGGGAACTCAAATGGTGGAAAGAGTGGAATGTAGGGTACTAGTCCGTAAAAAGTCTTGGGAATGTGGGTTAGTTGGGAATAAATTAAATTCACAAGAAATGTATATTTGATATTGTGCATCTCTCTAATGTAAAGGACCCGCCCCATGCTAAAGGGACATTTGCTTCAATCAATTGAGGTCCCCCACTATCTCACATGCCTTTTCTAATCACTCATGTACATCACCCCTCAAATAAAACTATATATTATGACGGGAAATTAGATGTTACATTTGATTATAATATTCGATGGATTTGGATTGTAGATCTACACGTAATCACACACACGGCCATGTATATGTGTGTTTGGTGAGTAGTTATTTAATCAAATATGTACAGTTTAAATCCGTCCAGTGTAAATAACCAACCATGCGTAGCATCTAAGTCCCCATATTATGAC